TTCTGTATCCACTCGCCCCAACCATGACTACTGGGTTAGTTTACCCAGGGTTGTCCACCACCTACAATAACTTAACCTGACGTTGAAATACTGTAGAGGGCAGCAACCATAAAAGTGGTCGATCATTTTTTTTTGTACAAGGTTTATGTCGAAAGTCAATTTACCTTCGCGAAAATGGTATCGCCCAGGCTATTCTTTTGCATTAACGATTTTGCAATGTCTGGCTGCTTTTGCAAAGCGTGGCTGACCTCGCCTCGCTGTCGGTCTGCAGCAGGATGCAATTGAAGATTTCTAGTATCTTTGCCTAGACTAGATTGTACTCTCTCCACGACGAAAGGGTTCAAGAAGAGAATAAGACAACGGTATTTATTTAATTTTATACCAAAAGAAAAGTAATTAAGTACTAGATTACACCACTCAGACATGACAGTGTCAAAGCTTCTTAATAATTTTTAATAATTGTTTACTACTGTGCTGCTTTCTAGACCCAAGGAAGGGAACCTACTAGTACTAGTACTAGGCCATAGGCCTACAGCAGGCTAGACTAGCTAGGTCTAGGCCTAGCCCAAGGTAGGACTAGCCCCTAAGGCATAGACTAGTGCCGTAACAAGTGCATTTACGTTAGAATTGAGATACTCCATTGACGTGCGGTACCCGGTCCAAGTTAGGCTGCTATACAGTGTCTCAGATTCATTTGATGTTTAGGCGGTTTATAAATTTATTATTATTATTATTATTATTATTATTATTATTATTATTATTATTATTATTATTATTATTATTATTTTATTATTATTGTTGTTGTTGTTGTTGTTGTTGAACAGTTCGATTGCCATACATACAGATTTTTTTTTATCTAATAGCATGAGTAAAATTTTTTTTTTTTAATGGTTTTCCAGATGCGAAACCATAATTTTGTATGTTTCCGTTATTTCTATAAAAACAAAATTCTAGGAAGGAGGATTGGATTCTTCTACTGTACTGAGGCCAGGGGGCCTAGCTGCTTTAATAGTGAAATGCTTCCAGCAGATGGAAAACACCAGCCAGGACTTCAAGTTGCTTCAGTAATTGGTAATAATTATACACAACAACAAATAACAAAATTAATTAAGAACAATATCAAAAAGTGTCTGTTGGGATTCAAACCGGCAATGTTGCATCCTTTGCTGGTTCGAGTGTCATACCATAGGCACAATCTCCATAAATATATACTTTCTTTCATTTCAAATTTTTTACATAGTGGAGCTGTGGTTAAGCTAGAAACTAGCTTGCAGGTAATAATATTCAATATTCAAATTAGCTGTTATTTACATATATTGTAATTATGATGCTACACAACACAGCAAACTTAGTTTTTATATATATATATATATATATACATTTGAAATTGCCTCAGTTGAACTTGCCTAAGTCGAATCCAAAATGCCATTGAAAAATTGTTTGACTTTGATAAAACTTGACTTACAGATTGTTAACACGTTGACTGCCAGACCTTTTTTACGGTTCCTTCCCGTGTGCCAAAATAAGTTTACATGTACAAACATACTTTTTTGAAATTTTATCTAGTCATATATCATCAAAATGATGTGTCTAATAAATTGGCGGGAAAATATTAGGGGGCGAGTATACTCGTTGATGGCACTGTGATAGAACTTTTTGCTGACTATGCCAAGTGCAAGTTATCTCGTCCTCTTTTTGCATGGGTTGGTATAGGTTCAAAGGGCGTCCCCACTTGTACTGCTCGAGTGTACTACCGGCAACATAACACAACAAACATATATGTTATTTGTACGTTATCGTCTAGATGTATCTTCTCCGAACTACCAGCCGTTGAGTCTGTGGTCCTACATTGTATAATAAAGAAGTTATAAACGTTAGATTGTTCCCCCGTTTTTGACGAGTATACTCGTTCCTGGTGCCCTCAGCAAACCCTGTGGGCGAGTATACTCGTCGCTGGCAGTCAACGTGTTAATTAATGGAAAACACAACAATTTGGCATGTAAAATAAGTTTGACTTAGAAATTATTTGTCTTAGAAATTATTTGAGTTAGGCAAAATCAAGTTAGACAAGTTTAACTGTTCACACACACACACATGGGAAATATATAAAGCTGTCTCTTATACACATCTAGATGTGTATAAGAGACAGATCACTAAAGATACAACACAAATGAGGCAAATGTACGATTGATTTCTGGCTGTTACCTTTTCATATTTAATTGTATCTCTACCGAGATCCAGCCATTGTTTCCCACAGCATTGTTGTTTTTCATTAATTTGCCTTTTAATCTCTATATATAACTATTGTTACAAATAACTATTATATAATCTCTCTTTGGTGTTTTTATTTTTTAGGATCTGCCTTCAGAACATTACTTGGTCCAAGTAAAAGGTAGTATTACTGGTCAATCAAAAAGCTTCATTTATCTGTTCTCATTAAAATAATAAAGTGAATATTCAATATAACAATATTAAACTCTGGTGCCAGCGGTGGGCCAGGGTGGGCATTTTTACCCCCTTGTCGGACAGGCCTGGACACACTGTGTGGATCGAAAATTAAAAACAATATAATTAATTTGCCTATCCAAATAATGTTATTTTGATTGAAAATCCCTAATAATGTGGACTAAAATCACATTTTGGACCATACTAAGCGATAAAGCCTCTCCCCATGCACCCTATCAAATGAATTTTTTATTTCAGGCCGTCGACCAAGGCTTCGTAGGCCCTTTGGTTCGGACTCCTCCCTCAGCAATTTCTGGCATCACCACTGCACTGAATAGGCTCATAGCCTAGTTAAATGTAACCCTGATAAAGCAATCTACTGGTATTAATTAAGATAATTAAAGAAAAGAATGTAAATAAGTAAAAGAAGGCATTCACAACAAACACAAATTATGATTGGTTGTTATTGTCCTTAATCTAATTCCTACATACTATAACATCCAATCAGAATTAGGAATTTCTTTTAGACAGGTGTAAAAATAGCCATTGACTTTCATAAGTGTAATTTTCTCCATTTTTTATTGCAGTGTGAAATTTTTTGTTGAACAAGATGAACTTGAAAGTGTTAGCATTACCAGTACAAGGGAACTACTACAGTTACTCGATACCCAGGTTGGTAAACTACCGTGTAATTAGGCAATAAAAAAAAGGTGTTTTCCAATCCCAACTAACCAAGTGTCTGGAAAATGTAGAGTTGGCCTTTTTTGTTTTTTACAAATATAAAATAATCTCATATATCTATAATGATAGTAGAATCAGCCATAAAAACCAAGGTAAAAAAAAAAAAATTCTGACCGATCTAAAAAATTCTATTCATGTAAATTATATTATATATTATAGCACCCTATTGGAGAAATGATAGCCTCGGCAGTCCAGACTCATGATAATGTTTATGGCTGCTATTCTACTACCATGGTTGTCTTGCTTGGGTATTGGTGTCAAGAGTTCAAGAACCTAATGATCAAGGTAATGAAAATAATAATGAAATGCTGGGGTGGATGCAGGCTGAGGTGAGAAAATTTTGAGAATATGGACTTAAGGTGCCCAGAAATTGCACTCTCATACTTACTCATCTTACCAGTAATTCATATCAACAATACAATACAACAATTATTTTTCTAAATACAATTTAAGGGGGTGCGATAGAAATGTTTGCATCCCTCTTGCATCTGCCCCAAAAATGTCGGTCTTATAGCACATCATGTCGAGATCACTATGTGCATGTTTGTATTTATCTATGCTTATTATAAGTTGATCAACATTTTGAAATACAGTATTAGTATGTAATGAAAAGAACAAAGAGCTTGTGGTAAACGTAGATTACTCTCAGAAACTAACATCAGTCAGGAGACCTTAAGTGTGATGATTCTTAATTCTTTTTCACAGGGTTATCCAATAAGTTCAATGCTGGCAGTTGGGGATGAGTTACTGGAATTTTGCATCAACGTTGTACAGAAATCATCAATATCACTGACCCAAATAATGTCACACCAGCTGGAAGGTCGGTCTAATGACTCATACTTATGCCAAGCTCGAGGCATGGCATCATGTTCAAATATAGAAGTAATTGGAAAAGTCTATGATCCTGGTGGAGAAATAAAGAGAAAGGAAACAGGGATGATGACAACATCTGATCCTGATGGAATTACTCAGATAATGAAAGCAAGTAACGGATCAACTGAAAAAACATTAAAGAATTGTGGGAAAGAAATTTACCAGGGATACATGATACCAACGGAAAGAGAGAAAAACAGCTGGTCTACATATCAGGATATCATGGAAGACCAGGATGTTTCATGGTTCTTTACAGATGAAAACAAGGCAGAACAGACAGACTTGCAAATACTACCTGAAGTGAGCTCAACCGATACGCTCAGAATGATACAATGTGAGGATCATCAGGATTTTGTTAATGCAATAGAGGATTATGATGTTTTGGGCTTAGGAACACTATGTGATGAACACCTTAAATTATCTGATGTAGCAACATTATCTGTTACTAGCTCTCAGATTTCTAAAAATTTAACAGAAATGCATTCCCTTAAAACACTTTCTAATGACTTTGTTCACTCAGAACTGCAAAGAAATTCTTCAAATCTACCACATCATGTGGCAAAATTGATTGAAAGGCAGGAATTAGTATGTAAGGATCCTGACAGCGACAATGAATTTGCCGGCTGTTTCGATAACTTACCCAATGTATCTCAAGATGAGATTTTTTCACAGAGAGGAACTAAGTTAGATCAGCCTGTTAGTGGCACTGTTTCCATGGAAGATAATAACTGTCCATCAGTATATTTTCAAGGATATACTAAAAAATTAGAAATTAATGAAATCCTTCCAAAAGCCCAACAGAATTTGACGGTTGATATAGATTCTCTTATTGAAAAAAAGATTAAGGAATCATCTAAGTTCTCATTGCTGAAAGGAATGTCACATAGCAGACATTTTAGAACCATAAAAAACACTGACAATGAAGTTGGTAAGATACAAAACGATGAGTTTATTGCAGAAACACAGCAGAGTGATGATAAGAAATTATCTGAGGTAAATATCAACTCATTCATCAACAGAAAGGTAGAAGAAACCAGAGAGATGAGAACTGACAGAGTTCAAATGCAAAGCCAATATATTGAAATAGAGCAACACCAAGAAATCTCGAAGCCGCCTTCAGATAATGTGCAGTCGGCAGTCGGGAGGACATTCAGATGCATAGATGATAGGATTGCCAACGTTGGAAGTAAAGACAATGAAAGAAACCAGACAGCAGACCACAAAATAAAGTCTGTATCAAAACTTATGATTGTAGATGATGCATCCCAACAAAATGTTGATGACCCATTGGAACAAGATCAAAAGTCATTCGTAGAGTTGGTGGATTTGCTAGGGTAAGTTTTTAGAGAAAGTAACCTGGGAAATATATAAAGTATTAGAAATTTAAAAAATCTATACAAAACATTACCAAATTTAAATAAATGTAACCATTTAAAAAATATGTATTTAAACAATTATATAATGTATTTTATAAAATTATTTTAAAAGATTAACTAAATTTTTTAACAATCTAAAATTTATAAAATTGTAGAAATTAATAAAAATAATATAGATATAATATTCAATAAGTATATCTGACATTCTGTGTTATTTACTTGCTACAAATTCATATTTTAAATTATATATTGACCAGTAACAAACTAAAAATTATAATATTGTAGAAATTAATAAAAATGACATATATATATATATATATATATTATATATATATATCTGTCTCTTATACACATCTAGAGACCAGGGGCGTGACTAGAGATGACATGAGCTAAAGCCCATATCAAGTGTGTTTTAATGAATTATAATCATTAATATCTTGTTATTTTATTTGTTTTTGCAGACCTGCTCTTTCGTATGATTCAGAACAAGCAATGAAAATCGCCATGCAGATGTTTAAAAGTACAACCAGAGAAATTTTGAAAGTGTAAGACCATACCTTCATTTATTATTACATTATAAACATTACAATTGATAGTTCATGACTTTATTTCCATCACAAAATAAATGTAATTTAGTTGGTATCAAAGTTCCCTACAAATTCCAGCCTACCACAGAATAAGAATAACAATTAAAAAAATATACTGGCACTGGCAGGTTAAAAAAAAAATGTAGGCAGGTTTCCATACACTGTACATATTGCACACACAGAAAGCATGCATTATGAATAATCATATAAAAATATGTTGGTACAATTTTTGTGTATACAATATTTTTGAACATAATTATATTACTGTGTACACTGTAAGAGCAATTCATTAAAAAAAATTTTAAATATGCATAATGTTCATTACTACTCTATGATTACAGATTTCAGTACAATGCTATACTGCATTCATTCATTTTATTTTTTGTTTCAGAAATGTTAATACAAAGTGGCTGCATATATGTTCAATGCTAGGTCCTCCATCCTCTGAATCTAGGGTTGAAGCTGGTCTCATATTGCCCACCACAAGCCACCAAGTCCCCTTAGTCACAGTACTCAAACAATCTCAGCCTAAGCTATTGGTAAATATTACATTGTGCTTTACCATGGAGGTCTAATAGTAAACTATAATATTGCCATGGTTTTACTATAAAATTTTTATTTGTAGTTTTTTATTTAAAATTTTACCAGATTTCAAATGGCTCCCACAAACTGAGTGAATGAGCATTTTGTGAATACGGTACTAAACCTGAATGAACCGATATATGCCAGCTTGCTTTTAGGAGCTTACCTCATGGAATCATTTGACCCAGGCATATACTGTATAAATGCAACAGTGTTATGTAACAGGCCTCAATTTGCCTTGAGATCACCATGATCCAGGTGAGGAGGCGGTGCGTGGGCATTCATCCAGTTAAGTATCTCACCCATAGACCAACAACATCACTGTTGATTTATGTGTTTTAATATCAACAGCTTATTTCTGGGGATGTACAACCTAGATATCATCACCTCGGATACAAAGAATCACTGAAACCTGAAGTCATTGTTAAGTCAGCTTCAACTGTACACACTTCACAAAAACACTGGAAACAGAAAGTCCTTGATCTTTTAAAACAACTAAATATCAGTATTTTGGTTACCAAGGGAACGGTGGATAGCAGTCTCTGTGCGGACTGTTTAGCTGAGAATGTTTTGGTTGTACAACAAGTGAAGTATTCCGCATTAAAAAAACTTTCAGGTGGATCAGGCGCCAATATTTTAACATACATTTTGGATGCTGAAGAGGTAATCTATTATTTATCTACTAATTTCTATCTAATGATCTTTATGCTAATAATATTGGTTGTAGAATTTATTATAATAATGTTGTGTTATATATACCCTGAAGATGATATTCATAATTCGCAAAACTTTAGAGTTTTGTCCGTATTTATCTCAAGTAACTTATCTATACATACAGGTATATTTGTATTTCTCAAGTAATGTGAAGTAATTTTAGTGTTTATGGCTTATTTATAATGTCTTTAATTTTGTATATTTTCTACATAAATTTTATTTATTTTTAGAAAACTTAGTAAGTGGCAATATAAAAGTAATGTTAACGTTTATAATATTTTTTTAAAAATTATGTATATAGAATTGCGATATTGTATTTTTGTTGTCATGAGGAGAGCCCCTCGACAGTAGATCTTCTACTTTTGGGCAATCCTGCCACATGGCAACAATTCTATTTTTGAAATTTTATATTTGTATATTTATATATTTATATCTGGCGAAATAAATGAAATGAAAAAAAAAAATGAAATACACATACTGTCGGTCTATAATAAACAAAAAAAAAGTATGCTACATTTTAAAATTGAAGTATTTTTTGTGTAATATTAGATTTGGTTGTTTTATTTTATTTTGATCCTTTCTTTGATTCCTCTTTAGGTTGACGTAGGATCTGTATCATCCTTAAACACATTAGAAGGTGGACAGACTAAAGGTCAAGGTTCAACTAGTCTATGCAATCAGAGCCAGTTTGTCCGCATCGAAACAGAATCAAGTATTCAAGTAAGAATACAAGGAATTAAATAAATGAATAGATGCATGGATAGATGAATAATTGAATGAATTAGTAAATGAGCAATCGAATAAATGAATGAACAAACAAATAAGAGGTCACAGCTGATTATGTAGAAGTGGTTGGTCCTTGGGCAAGGCACTTTATCTACGTTTGTCTCTCTCTACCCAGGAGTATAAATGGGTACCTGGTAGGATGGTGTAGCATTGAATGTTCTAGTTTCATGTGCTGAAGAAGTAGCGAATCACTAGGGATATTCCCCAGGGAGCAGAGAAGGTTCCACTATGTGCTGGTTTGCCATTGTACGTTATCCAGTGACCAGGGGTAATAACGCTCATGCCTTTGATCGTTTAATTCAGAATTGGCACCTTATAAATGTTTGCTGGGTATTATTATTATTATTAATTTTAAAGAAATTTGAAATTTTTGTGGTAAAACTAGGGGAGGGGATGTTCTCATGATCCCCCTCTTAATGGTTTCTAATCTACTTGTACATCTCTTTATTCTAATAATTCTCCCTCTCCATTTTAAATTACAATTCAAATGTTCGTTTCTCATATTTTGTAACAGACTGCTGTTTTGTGTGCCCCAAGCCAGCCTCTACTTGATGGGTTGGAGGAACAATTCATGTCATGTATACATCGACTCACTCAGGCCTTTGTGGATGAAAAAGTTATTCCTGGAGCAGGTTACACAGAAATTGTGGCAATAAACAACCTCAATAACTTGACTGGTAATGCTCCAATTAGCAAAATTATTTTAATGTAAAATGATACTTTACTGTAAAAATTTTTAATTGCACAGACGATACCTCAAATTTGTGTGGAAATTCGCTAGGAAGATATGTGTGCAAATTCGTAATTACTGCATAATACATATAGTTTTATATTAAGATTAGGTCAAAGCGTAATTTTCAGCAAAATCTGCGGAAATCAGCTCTTATTTTTCGGACGGATTTTCTATGCCAAATTTTTTGCACGGAGGATGTATTTTTATGGTATTCCTGTAAAAAAATATATATACCTGTAAACTGTGTGGGTGTGAGTTGAAACACACATGAACATGCAGCGCGGTTTTTACTTTACACCTTTTTAAATTTTTATCCCTCACACCGGCAAAGATCTTTATCTGCACCTGATGATTGTGGGTGGCACCATTTGTACACCATTTTTTTGCAGTATCTTCATATAAAAATGTTTGTTTTTGTTTTCTGTGCTAGAAACAACCGATTTGGTCGACAGGCACGATATAGCAAAAGCTCTCCAATCAGGCTGGGAGTCCTATCTCTTGCAGCTAGTTTACAATTGTAGGGGAATCAATGACTGGTCTCAAGGAATGGATTATGTTGCAAAAGCTGTGCACATGAACACAAGTCCATGCGGATGTGATGTCCACAGGGTTGTTGACTGCGTCACTGCTAAGGTAGCTGCATGGAAAACTGCCTGGAAATTGCTTGGCATCATCCTGCTTACTGACACACACATTTCAACTGGTTTAGATGATAATGTACTTTGATTTATTTTTGTAATAAAACAACAAAATCTGAATCCTCTTGAACTGTGATTATGTTTGAATGTGTCCATTTTTCTACTAAAAAATGTACAGTAGCTTATTCAAAAGTGGGCCCAGCTGGCTTGGGGCCCTCTAAATTTTTCTAGAGTTGCCGTAATCATACATTTTCTTACTTTAGCCCCAGCCATGGTGGGGCTTAGGTGGAATAGACCCTTCATCTGCCATTGATGCACCTATATCATCAGTAATAAAAACTGTCAACTAATACAGTGCCATACGTTATCCTCAGAAGATAGCCAATGGACCAAGATTAGTTTTTTTTTTTTTTTTAACCCAAACAACCACTGGATTTCATTACTACAGTACAGTACTATTTTTATACGTGGAATTGTCTTGTTTTACTAAAAGGATATTTATGTATGTACAATGCTACAAATATTACTAAACACAGATACACAATGGCAGAAGCTATAAAATTTAACCAATAATAGTATATTTTTGCAAATGTTAGTACAGTAAAAAAATATATTTGTACTGTACATTCTATTCCCTACAGCATTTTATATATTCTAATGCAGCTTATAATTTAAAAATCCTGATTTGCCCATAAATTTTATAATGTTATTTTTTGGATGTTATGTTTTACCATCACTTTGCAAACTCAAGATGTTTTTCTTTTGTATTTTATTAAAGATTAATAAAGTTATTTGTGTTTTGTATTCCGTATTATATGACTGACCTTTTCAACGTAATAATACACAAATTCGAATATCTAGTATTCTACACAGCTCGTAGGTCAACTATTGCACAAGCTATCAAATTGAACCATAATGATTATATTTTTGAAAAATTGTTAATTAGTGAAAAATATATTTGTGCTATATTGCATTTCAAATACATTATTATGTACCTGTAGTCTACATACAGTACTGTATACACATACTGTACACACAGGCCAAAAACACACAAACACACATACATACATATGCTCACCCACATGATAACTCTCAGCTTTTCAACCTCCACCAACAAACCACCATCCACCTCCATAACACCAAATCACAGAGATCTCATCTCCAATTCATGACTTCACACCTCTAAACTCAGTTATACGGTTACCTGAACTAAACATAATAATGACAACAATAATAATAGTAAACTCAGTTATACGGTTACCTGAACTAAACATAATAATGACAACAATAATAGAAATACACATACCAAGTGGTGGTGCCAATACTGAGCAGTAGGGGTTTAAGCCTCCCATTGGAAGGCTAAGCCCTCTCATGTGGCAGCCAAGACACTTTTTTCTTAAAATTCCTTTAGCATAATACCTTCTAAAATGTCTCATAACAGCTTAATATGGCTCGAAACTCCATATTTTCTCCAGATGCTTAGCCACATGGAGACCCAGAGCTTCACCCCCTACTCCTGCCGACGCGTATGCCTGTCAGACAAGTTTAATTCGTAATTACTCATCTAAAGTACGACTAAAGCTCTTTTTGAACGTGACTCTTGGATAAAGCACCTTTAGGTTGTTGACCACTGTTGTAGTAATCTGTTCACAAAATGATATATCAACAAAAACCATCTTTTGGCACTTAATCAACACCCTGAAATTGAAAGAAATGGTAGTAAAAGGAAAGCAAGATGGTTAAAAAATAGCAGCATAGCTAGTGATAGTGAAAATTATCTGTAAAGTTTATAATGTAAAACAGTATGTATTAACACAATACAGTATAAATAAGTATAACAGTAGATTTACAGTATAAAATGTATACATTGCATCTGGCAGAAAAGTTGTGACAGTGCTAGGAAAATAAACATCCACAGTGGTTGCATATTTTAAACAAGTAATCAATGATGCCAATGGATTGTGTGTCTATCATGTTGATCCTGTATATATTTGTAGATAAACCGATATACAACAAATAAATTATAGTAACATAGAAAGTATACGACATACAGTATCAAATGGAAAAATGCATGCAGACTCAAAACATTATGATTGGAACACATGGAAATGTCTTATTTTAACCTGCACAATAATGTAACATATTAGGGATGAAAAGGCTGCTGATTTACCTCTCAAGACTTGAAGGACTAATGTACCGCATACCCAGCAGATCCAACTGCTCTAAGTCTGCACAATTCACAGCTATTGCCTCAAGATCGTTATCACCAATGGTTCTGTAAAAGACAATGGAATTCACCAAATAAGATGTCTATGAGCCCAAACACACTTATTATATCAGCCCAAGGCCGCCTTAACTACGGCCAACTCTGTCCGTTTACAGTTAGTATCGGCTCTAGTTTCGCACTGTGAACGTTCACACTTCCTCCTTTGCACCAGGTTTTTACATGAAATGTTATGGTATAAGATGCCAAAATTGACCGCCCTCAAGGCTACCTTGGCGACGCAGGTTCAGTTTGCGTTCATATATGAAGATGAGTCAGCCCTATAAAGTCAGACTAAATTTAGGTCGGCTTAAAATTTATTGATTGTTCACACTTAAAAAAGATAGCCAAGAGCCTATATAACTATTAAATGTGATTGGACTCTATGACCATATTTGAATTTGATTTCCATACAGAGGACTTTGAAGGATCTACTGGACAATTAAATTCATCTTTGATTATACTGTACATGCAATACTAGGGATCATGTGATCAACAGACACTCAAATTAATATGTGCGTTTACACAACAAAGCATACGCTACAATTACCAAGTCAAATTTCATGCAGCTTAATACGTTAGATAATTTAACAGGAGACACTCCAATTACAACTGTACTATCTTCCATCCGATAAAAATTGAAAGCAGATAGTTGTAATGAAGCTACAATTACCTTTGTAGTTTAAATAGAGTCTAGAAAAGATTCAAAATCATTTATTTTGTTTCATTTCCATTCAACAGTAAAAGTTCAATTATTTAGTTTTGATGTTTCTAGACATGATAAAATCTAGTTTTCACAAGATTTGAACCCAGGACACTGGGACTTGAGTGCCAGCATATTAACCATTAAGCTACAGCCTACTCCATGCTCTCCAATCACATAGATACTTTACCTGTTAGAGGTTAAAAACAATTTCTTTAGATTCTTGCATTTTTCCACTAATATATCAATTCCACTAACGTCCAAACTGAAATGAATGAAAAAAATATATATAAATGTGAAAACCTATACTGATACTGTGATACTTGTGTACTAAAGAATAATCATGTAATTAAACAAATCATGTTAATGGTAATGGTAATGGTGGGATATTTGCAGTGAGCCTTCCACAATAAAATTTTCTCAAGGCGCCGAAACATGTTAATGATGAATTAGTAACTTTCTACCCCACTGGTGCAAAAATTATGAAATACTCTTGCCTACACCAATCAGAATACACTTGAAATGGATTGCAAATGGTTACAGAAAATGTATATTATACTAAAATTGTGTGCATTTGTTCTTTTTGTTATGCCACTTTGTAAATAGGTCATGTTGACTTTCCTGAGTTATCAATGTACTTTGCTGAATAAATTTATTCAATTAATCAAAGGATGCACTTAACTTATTATCTCAAAAATTCTTGGCAAACTCAATGATAAGCTACACAGAATGGTTTGCAAATAGGATAAGTATGATCGCCTGATATCATATTTTGTCATGAGTATAGATGGGATTTTAATTGTCTATTAAAAAACATTGTGTTTCATTTCTATTATTCCAATTCTTTTTTTTCCATGAACTTTCACTGACCATTCGAACATCATGGGCAACTTTATTTAGGGTCACGACCTAAGATTTAGCTTGATAACAGCATAATAAGAATCAGACATTACTCTTTAGACTGAGTCTCATCCCTATTACTGGCTAAGATTATTTTGACTTACCACCATCCTATGTCAAGCTCCAGTAATTGGGGGCATCCCTTGGCCAGGGAGCCTAGACCAATTTTCGTCAATGTCTTTGCCCTCCATAGATCTAAACTCTTTAATTTCCTGAGAATATAACAATTATTGATCAATTTTGTATACTTCACAGTCGCAACAATAAACATATAATTAATGTAATTCCAAAGGAAATGACTATTCTGTTTATTATTTAATGATGATCTGATCAAAAAGAAAAATAAATTTATATTTACAGTATGACAGACAGAATAAATTATCTCAGGTAGGCATAATAAACTTTAATCTCTTTTTGAGACTTAGTTGATTGAGAACCTACTGGATCTGTTATTCTGGTAAAATATGAGTATATTAAACAAATATGATTGGTATGTTTTGTATACTTACTTGCAATAATGACCTAATGAGCCCATTACCACATCAAAATGCTGGATACCAGATACTGATCCTAAATTCAGATGTTCCAAGTCAGGGAAATTCCTATTAAAAAACAAATATTTAACAATGATATATTTCAATACATAGCAATGAGATCAGGGTTTCAAACCCCACACTACCCATTTCTCAAGTGAACTTGAACAGGTCACTTAATATCTTTGTATCTAAATTTAAAAGGCCTAGGACATTTGATCCTAATGACACTATATCAATGAGTTTATTTAATAGTGAGGGCTGGCACCAGCGGGTCGGCTGTTGGTAAAATCTATCGGGGAACAATGTGACTCAGGTGGATATGGACTTGAACGATGAACCAACTGTCTGGAAAAGGTGGCACCACCCTTATAAAGAGTATTATTCTTAATTTTCATCAATTATTATCACCAGTATTTATCATTACCTTTTCCGCTAATGATTATATTTATAATTATATAAAAACTAAAACGAATGTGACTTACTTGAATAAGAAACACGCTTGATTATCAGTCAGACTTGTGCGGTATAGATTCAACCGTTGTAGAGAATGTAGTGAAGATAAACAACCAAAGCTCCGACCATTAAGTTGGGTGCATGATTGGAAATTCAATTCTAAAAAAAAAAATTTAAAAAGGCTCAGCTTACTAGAGTTTTTTAGTGGGTGAAATTGAGATGATATAATATGTTTGGTATAGTATTTATAAAATAAAGTAAGTTTTTGAGACAAAATGGCATGCAAAGAAACTTTTCCTTCATACAAAACATTAATAACATGCTGCTTCTGATCCCAAAAAACAATAAAATAACATGAAACAGGATGAAGAATAATACAGATAAACCCATGAAGCCTCCCGAACCTTTGCTACATTGGGGAGACAATTAAACCTTATAATTTAACTAAACTTCAATATTTTGCTGTTTTGTATAAAAGTCGGTTTAACTAGTAGCCACTAAATGTGTCAAAAGTTTTGTTTTATTTAATCTAATACCCCTAATCTGTTTGCTTAACATTCATCTGTATTTCTGGGTCTTCCTACTTGAACTTTACACAATCAAGTACCTCTATACATATACTCACTGTGTTGATACAAAATAATTATAATAAATTCAATAGCTTTCATTGATAAACAAATTATACTGCATAAAATGAATATGAATGCTACTACTGTGGACTGTACCATTCCCATCCTAGGTGCAACAAATAAATACTGTAAATTTATGCATCTGCAAAAAAGCTGACTGAAACTGAACAATATTTTTTTAAATTGGTAAATAGATTAACAATAGTATATAGTTCAAGGTTTAAGGCTCAACCTTCCTTGAAAAAATGCTGAATAAATTAAGAAAAGTACACAAATAATCTGGTATTGTGTAAAATGTTGATGATGAAACGTACCTATCTATAAACTTTAACGAACTGATGTGGCATGATGCCAATGTGGATATAGAACACTGCCCTGGGCAGGTTTTGTAAACACAGAAATGTAAAAACCAAGCCATTGGTACAATATAGTATTACAAACTATACAGGGTAAACAGCAACAACAACACAAGCAAGGAACTGCTAAGAGGTGAGTATAAATGTCTATGTTAATTGGCTTACTGTAGGCACACTGACAATTAATGCTTTCTGGGATGGTATAACTTCATATAAGTGGACTTGATATTAATAATATCAATAATAATTATAAGGGATCTAAACTTATCCATGCCCTCATTACATCTAGGCTGGATATTGCAATGGTGTCTCTTATGCTGCTCATCTCATTACACAAGCACCTCGCCGACAAGATAACACTCCTGTTCTTCTTTCTCTACACTGGCTTTCAGTCACCAAACAAATTTCCTACAAAATATTACTTCTCATTTATAAAGCTCTCCATTGTCAGGCCCCTTCCTATATTTCCGAACTTATTCAGTTAAACTCCAAAACCTGCCGTCGTTCACTTCAATCCACCTCTAGCTCTCCTACGCTTTCTACTCATATTCGCAAGCTGAAGTTGTACGGTGAGTATTCGTTTAAGGTCGCGGCACCTAGACTCTGGAACTCTTTTCCCATAATACACAAGGAATCGTCATCCATTTTCCTATTTAAGGCCAGACTCAAAACTTAACCTTTCTCATCTATCTAATGCTTTCAATTTTGTTGATGGTTTTTGTTGTTCCTTTTCCTTTTTCTCTTCCTCATCTTATTTATTTTTTTCAACTTCTTTTGAACATTTTGTTGAAAGCGCATAGAGACCTAGTATTATGCGCATTTAAATTCTACATCAATTACCATTTACCATCACCCTAAGTGCATTCTACATTTAGTACATGTTATTTTGCATGATCAGAAGCAAATTATTGCATGGTAAGGCATATCATTATTACTTGATTTTGGTAATTACATACTAATCACCAATTATTGTACATGGTGGAGTGCCTATTTTGGATCCTCTAAGCATTTTACTACTTCCTGTGTCAGGATCTTTGAAGAAACAGGTTGGCGAATGTGACAATTTCAGTTACATATATAAATATTTCTTCCCATTTACACTGTTACCAACCATCTCGCATCGTGCGGGACAGTCCCGCATTTCAAAGTGATTTTGGTTGAAACACGCATTTGCACAGGTCTATGCGTGATAACGAATTATCACGAATTTAGGGGAAAATATATTTAAAATTAAAAGAAACTGGTTTTATTAAACTCATAAAAACGGTCATGAAGTAACTTAAATCATTAGACAGTATTTACATGAATACTTATTTTACTGACGCATTATTAAAAATTGATCAGTGTGCCTACTGAGTAATAAAATGTTTGTGTACATAGTTTGGGTGCTCAAATTAAACAAGATGTACATTGAAACTCAAATTGTACGTGGCTTCATTAAAAATATTTTTGTTTATTTACCGTACCTGCTATTGTCAATAAACACTCCCTGAAATCCATTTAAAACAGCTTAAAAATGCTCAGATCATCGGAGCGCCAGGGGCCCTCGTCTGGACCCCACCGGGGCGGCACCTCTGGACCCCCGGATGGGGACCCGGCGGCTCCTGCCCCTCCCTCCCACCAACTGGTGTAGTCATGCATTTAAAATCTCTCAGGTTGGTAACTATGCATTCATATTCAATTTTCCCATAAATAGAGTAGGAGAAAATAATGGTAATTAAAAGTATTGTGCATTTTAACATGTCCATTTTGTAGATGTTATATTCCTGTATAGCTTCTATTTTTCTTGATTGAATACACTGAAGTTTTTATAATAACTTGGTATGTTGACGCCATGTTTAACCAATACAATGTAAACTAAAACACTGATAGATCCATTCCAAATTCTTGAGCGAATTTTTTCTAAAATAGATTTTGTTATAATGGAATGATAAGAATAGAAAATGTAAGCCATAACATAGTAAGTAATTTATGAAGAATTTTGCTTCTAATAATAAGTTTCTTGAAAAAGGGAATGATTCCCACTATGGTGAGCGCATTCAATCATTAATACAAGGCACTGGTGCATATAACTTGCTGAACTTTATTCAAAACTGATCATGCAGAAATCTTCTCATAATATTACTTGTCCCAAAATATTCTTGACACACATGAAGAAACAGGAGCCTAATTTTGTAGTGCTTATTCTCATCTAATGTAAAATATAGTACATATACAATGAAATGCAGAATATAGGATCTTGCTTATATTTATGGGTACAATTTATGTGTTAACAGTGTAATAAGCTTTGTCTACACTCAAATTTTTGTGACAAATAACTATATTGTGCCAATATTTGAACGTAATATGACATCATCATGATCATAAGGACACATTACACAAATTTGTCGCATAAGATAGTGTGAACAGGACTTTAAAAATCCTGTTTCTGATTGTTTCCCTTATACAGTACTCTAAGGCCAAGTAAATAAGAAAAAAAGTAGTTTCTCGTCCTGATATTTTGAACAAAGAGAATGAGGGCACTTTTTTTTTTTTTACTGCAAAATGGCTAATTCAAGATGGTCAGTGGGAAACAGTACTACTCCCTCACTTTTACCAAGTAGACACATTGAAAGCAAATAAAAGAAGCACTAGACACGATTCATACCATGTATCCCCAAACAACGATCTAGAGAGGAATTTTACTGATGCGAGCTAGCCAGATTTTCATACATTTCGTAAAATAAAGAATTAAAAAATTTTAAAAAATTGGTTAGGCAGAGAAAATGGATGCGCGAGGGGACAAGAAACTAGTAATTTTTTATATTTGGCCTAATATTAACTTTTCATTATTCTTTGGCCCTTGAAGAAGCAGCGCTATAGTTTCCAAAGACCTGTCCAGACTATCAAATTTTATTTGAAAAAAAAACATGTGACATGCCTAAATATGGTCATGAAGACATCATATCATGACTATATATGGGCATACAGCAGTGTTTTGTCAAAGAAAATTTCATAGTCTGGACAGAGCTTTAGGTGATTGGCTTTTATTGAAACAGTACAAAATATATCCTTGTATGTATTTCAATTATAAATAAATAGATTTTCATTTTTTTTTAAATAAATATGAAAAAAAAACATCATTTATTATATTTTTTTCAAGTCAAAAAAACAAAAGATAAAAAGGAAAACTAGCATTAACATTTATTAAAAAATATCTTGTATATCAAATTAGTTATATAAATAATTAAACACATTTTAATGCATAAAGTAAGTATATTTTCATCTTTTCTATAGAATCAAAAATTATCTTGAAGTCATGGCTAAATCACCAATCACAGACTACAGCAAGAAAGGGAAGCCAACGCTTGTCTTTGGACGGAGAGGATTTTCAGAAGACTCACTTCACCATCCTTTGGGACTAACAATCACTAAGGACAAAAACATTGCCATAGCAAACAGTAAAACAAATGAAATCAAAGTGTTTTCTCTGACCGGTAAATTTGCCTCATCATTTAAACTTCATAGCGTTAACCTAATGGTTGATGTTGGCGTCTCTGCCGTGACTACCAACCAACATGGTAACTTGGTCGCTAGTTACACAGACAACCACGAGGTCCAGATGTTGATGGCTGGTTCTGGTAAACTGAAGCAAACGATGAAGATGGACATGCAGAACAATTTCAAGCCTTGGGGTGTGGCATGTGATGATAAAAACATATACGTTTGCGACCGCCAGAATTCTTGCCTTCGTGTATTCACTGTGGATGGCAAATATCAGAGAGATATTGGCAGGAAAGGAACCGGTGATGGAGAATTCATGGAACCTGTTGGTATCGCGATAATGCCGAATGGAAAACTGGCAGTGACCGACTTTGAAAACCACAACATACAAATATTCAGTGATCAGGGAGTGTTTTGCTGTACATATGGTACCGAAGGAGATGGACCTGGTCAATTTAACCAGCCGATGGGAATAGCAGTAGATCGTACAGGCTTCATAGCCGTAACTGAGTGGAAGAACAATCGTGTCCAGGTTCTTGATGCTATGGGAAATTCAGTGACCACCTTTGGACAACAGGGATCTGCAGAAGGGGACTTCTTCTCACCGAGTGGTATTGCTATCACACCAAATGGCCAAATTGTTGTAGCAGATTTCAACAACAACCGAATTCAAGTCTTTTGAATTCAGATTCTCTGTTACTGCACTATAAACCAAACACTCCTTTTACAAACTTTCAGAAAACAAGACCTCAATTAATTGGTTATTAATTGTGATTTTTCAAATAGAACTTCATTGCCACTGGTTATAAGTACACAAGCAACGAAGCAGTAAAATTATAGAAGTAAAACTATGCATTTAGAGAGAAATAACATAGAATCATCAAAATATTTTGGTCATCTCTATGTTATACTCTAATGTACTATTAATATAACAATTTCAACACCGGTAATTTTCAAGCAGATTCTAATCCAGCTTCAGTGTTATTCAAATAGAAAATAATTGTTTACTTTAATATTGATTATTCAGCAAAAGTGATCACATACTCGGTAATATGGTATAATGTACAATAATAGTACTAAGCTATGTAATCAAATTGTAATAAATATTCACAAAAAATCTCCAGGTACCAAACATTATTATGCAGCCTTTATAAGGGTAACAGATTTTGCTAGATTTCTGAAATTTTTACAACCATGTATATTAATGCTGAACAAGCAATATAACCTTAATTATCAATATTAAATGCAGGCACTGTTTACTATCAAAAATAAATGAATTTTCTAATCTGTAAACAACTTAGCATTTATAAGGGTAACCGTATACAACCATTACACAATAACAGATTGAAAAATAGTGTTATTTACACCAAATTTATTAAAAATATAATTTCCTACCAATTTTATGACATTTTTTTGTCATATCTATATCACATTGAATATGATTATTGTCCTTACATAATATTTACTGTATATTATTATTTCATATCAATCACATTTTAGAATAGAAAACAAAATATGCATATTATTATTATTATTAAAGGAAAGATACATGCTTATCTTCAGGGAATGCTCTAAAATGGCCATATAATATGTTAGTCGCATACAATTTATCTAGTAGAGAATTTTTAAGCATGTTACAACGAAACTAAAGTATTCTTGTTAAGTTGTGACAGACAAATATATTATTAATTAACTTACTGATGATTATGATTATAATTTTGTATTATTTCAGCAAATTTTTATTATTAATCATTAGTATTTCTTGTACCATGCGATACTGTACCTTTTTAAATTGTAATATTTGCTGCCATATCTTGGGGTGTTAACATGAGGACTTATGGGTAAAAGGGAGATAGTGAAGTGAAGGGTGCTATATTGGGGTCAAGTGCTCATATTCACCCTTTGACTCCGTATTATACTACTGTGCTGTAGTTTTTGACTGAGTGCAACCTACCACTATGTAAAAACCACTATTTATTACCATCATGGTCACTATTATTTGGTATTATTGTAAATATTATTATATTATCATCAATACAATATTAATAATACTGTACATTATTGTGTATTTAATTAGACATTTAGCAACCATAGATTAAATAAAAATAATAAATTCTACAACCAATAAAAAAATTATGTTGATCATTCAATTACATAAGCATTTGCAACATAGAGAAAACAATAATTTACAGCTAAGACTAGGCTTTGACACATATCACCACAGCAAGAAATTTGCGATGATGATATATTTCAAAGGCACAGAAGAATAAATGTAAGCTCATAATCCTTTATAAATAAACATATTATTATTATCAATGTGTTCAGTATCAAAATCATTTGTCCTTATTGATTACTGAGTGAATCTGAAGCAGGCACAATGGAACATCAAACCTGTTGTCTTGTTCTTCTTCTTTCCCAGCTGCCGCCACCGTCATCATATTGACGATTTTACAACTATAACGGTCTACCATGCAAGACAGACTCGCTTAAACTTTAGTTTCCATGAAAATGGTTATCGTTATTATTATTATTTTTAATTTTTTTTTTTTTTTTTGTGAATTACTGTATGCAGTACACTAGATGAAAATCACCTGTTATATTTTAAAAATGTGTATTATGATATCATGTCCATATATGGGTAGGACATAATATCTTAATTCGAATATATGGGAAAGTCATACACAATTTTTTTTTTTCACGTTACAATCACCTGCTAATGTAATATGACATCAACATGCCCATATGGTCAAAATCACACACACTTTTTCACATATAACGTGATAGTATGAACAGAGCTTTGCAGGACCAAATGCCTCTAAAGCCCTGTCCACACTATCAAATTTTATTTGAAAAACACTTGTGACATGCCTAAGTATGGTAATGATGACATCACATCATTACCATGAGGGGGCACTAGCTTGCAGGACAATTGTCAAAAACAGGCATTAACTTCTGCCTGAAAATGTATCCTGGGTAAAGGTGTTTAGAATTTAAAAAAACAAAATAAAATATATAGGCCCATCATGACTATATATGGGTCCATCATAACTATATATGGGCCCATCATGACTATATATGGGACCATCATGACTATATATGGGCCCATCATGACTATATATGGGCATACAACAGTTGTCTGTCAAAAAAAATCTTATAGTCTGGACAGAGAGCTTTATGAAAGATGGACTACAATTTGTGATTTATTCAGATTGGCAGAATTCATTTATTCAATACTCGATGAGATTGTATAACTATAATTGACGTTTTTTAATGTTGTTATGTATAATACAGTATTTTAAAAAGGCCTAATCGATCTGAAATTAGTAATTTTCAAATTTTAACTGGAATTCTTATTCAGCATTTTAATATTTTGTTATTGTGTGTTTAGAATTGTAGCGCTTTAAGTATTTTACTAGCCATTATAATGTATATTTTATCTATATATAACTAATGATATAACTAATGTTTTTTTTTATAAATTTTAATGACTTGAAAATGTAGTCACTGCTATTTTTATATAGGACGAAAAAATTGAATATGAAGCTGACAACCATAACACAAATACCACACCATTGTTTAGCGCAAACAACGTATTCAAGTAAATCAAATAAGTAACACTGTAACAAGTTATGCATTAAAATTTGATTAATTAAGCATGGTGATTTTATATTATTTAATCTTTGCGGGACCAAATGCCTCTAAAGCCCTGTCCACACTATCAAATTTTATTTGAAAAACACTTGCCTAAGTATGGTAATGATGACATCACATCATTACCATATGAGGGGGCACTAGCTTGCAGGACAATTGTCAAAAACAGGCATTAACTTCTGCCTGAAAATGTATCCTAGGTAAAGGTGTTTAGAATTAAAAAAAAATAAAATAAAATATATAGGCCCATCATGACTATATATGGGTCCATCATGACTATATATGGGCCCATCATGACTATATATGGGCCTATCATGACTATATATGGGCATACAACAGTTGTCTGTCAAAAAAAATCTTATAGTCTGGACAGAGAGCTTTATGAAAGATGGTAAACTACAATTTGTGATTCATTCAGATTTATTTATTCAATACTCGATCAGATTGTATAACTATAATTGACGTTTTTTAATGTTGTTATGTATAATACAGTATTTTAAAAAGGCCTAATCGATCTGAAATTAGTAATTTTCAAATTTTAACTGGAATTCTTATTCAGCATTTTAATATTTTGTTATTGTGTGTTTAGAATTGTAGCGCTTTAAGTATTTTACTAGCCATTATAATGTATATTTTATCTATATATAACTAATGTTTTTTTTTTATAAATTTTAATGACTTGAAAATGTAGTCACTGCTATTTTTATATAGGACAAAAAAATTGAATCTGAAGCTGACAACCATAACACAAATACCACACCATTGTTTAGCGCAAACAACGTATTCAAGTAAATCAAATAAGTAACACTGTAACAAGTTATGCATTAAAATTTGATTAATTAAGCATGGTGATTTTATATTATTTAATATTAATAAGAGAATATTTTGCAGTACCTTTTAATTGTGTACATGTTTCTGCGATGGTTTGCACATTGTCATCATTGAGGAAAGAGCAGCAGCTTAACTGTAGACATTCCATATTCCTTCCACACCTTTCTATAAATCTGTAAATGATAGAGACAAAACTTTGCAATTATTATGCAATTTTACCAGAAATAAATGAAAGTCAAACAATTATTAATACAATGAAGGATAAAAAAAATTGATAAAAAATAATAATTCTGATATGGATACAGAGATGTTTAAATGTAAAAAATATGCAATATTAAAGAATACAAATATTATAACAACATTTTGGTCAGTTGTATTGTTTATCTGTTTACCGTAAAAACATCATCTGGAAATACATGATGCCAAATATGTAAGATTCTGTTATTTTTAATGAACAATAAAGGCTATCTTGAATTTTGAAACTTGAATCTTGGGATAGGCTGTCTGTCCAGACAACCATATTTTATTTGACAAACATCTGTGATTTGCCCATATATAGGCATGATGATTGCAATATCTGTATAGCGCCCTCTGATGGACATAGTTCAACATGCTGATTATCTATGACCAGCTTTACGTCTGGAGGTCAATAAAAAGATGGCATTTCATGTGTGATACCATTTTATGTCTTGTTCGAACAGTCTTAATGTTTCTTCTTGTTCAGCCTGAATATTATATTATATAATATATGGATGTTATATAATATTATATTATATAACATCCATATATGGGCATAATACCATATAACACCCATATATGGATATGACAATATCTTATAACACCCATATATGGGCATGTTGGTGTCATTATAACACCCATATATGGACATAATGTCATATGAAACCCATATATGGACATGATGATGTCATATAAAACCCATATAGGGACATGACGATATCATATCACACCCATATATATAAAAATTGACAGTGTATACAGAGTTATAGATTCCACCAGTTGCCAAATCAAGCTACACTGTCAGTTTTCAAACAAACATCTGTGATTTGCCCATATTTTTTATTTATTTTATTTATTTATTCTTTATACTGGGTTACCTCTTCAGTAAGAAGTTACTGTTCTCCCAGAGGGCCCAGTACACATAAAACATTAAAATCTCAAGGCATGATGATTGCAATATCTGTAGAGCGCCCTCTGATGGACATAGTTCAACATGCTGATTATCTATGACCAGCTTTACGTCTGGAGGTCAATAAAAAGATGGCATTTCATGTGTGATACCATTTTATATCTTGTTCGAACAGTCTTATTGTTTTCTTCTTGTTCAGCCTGAATATTATACACATCCATATATGGGCATAATACCATATAACACCCATATATGGATATGACAATATCTTATAACACCCATATATGGGCATGTTGGTGTCATTATAACACCAATATATGGACATAATGTCATATGAAACCCATATAATAATGGACATGATGATGTCATATAAAACCCATATAGGGACATGACGATATCATATCACACCCATATATATAAAAATTGACAGTGTATACAGAGTTATAGATTCCACCAGTTGCCAAATCAAGCTACACTGTCAGTTTTCTATAACTTTCAAATGTGTTAGAAGTAAGCTTTCCCCAGCACACAGACACACCAAGTTAGACTCACTTTTTTACTGTTAAATGTGTCAGGGGTTAGCATGCACCACATAGCTGCCAAAACAAGGTACACTCAGTCCTTTACCTGTCAAATGTTTCAGGAGTAAGCTTTATCTAGCAGCTGCTACAGAAAGCTAGACTCAGTTTCTTACCTGTCAAATGTTTCAGGGGTAAGCATCCCGTAGCTGCCACACCAAGCTAGACTCAGTTTCTTGAGTTGTCTACAGCGTGATGAGAATCTTTCCAAGTCAGAATCATTGAACTAGGAAGAAAACATTTTAAATCATGTTTATTAGGGTACATAAACAGATAGAGAAGATACTGTACATGTTCAAAGTAAACTACAACTATACGTGACTGGCTCTGGCAAAACCAGCCGTTTGTAGGAAAAATACAGTTTTTGGTATTTTTAGATTCTGCATGAATTCTTCTTTTAAAATAGTGTTTATTTGATGGAAATTGGTTGAGTATTAGTGAAGTTATGAATATTTAATTCACTGGATATTAGCCATGTAGGTTTTGAGAAAAAAGCTTCCAAAAATTCCAAAATCAATAGTTTATTATTAAGATTGTATTTTAAAAATAATTTTAATATACTTTTCAGTTAGATTTAATGATTGATATTTTGCAGACATTTTCTTCAATATATCTTCTTTTATAAAATGCAAAAACATGAAAAATTCTGATTCTCAAACGTTTTGGGTGGTTATTAGAAGGTATCTGTAAATCATAGAAACATTTATCTATCACTTTTTAAAAGTTTGTTGAAACTTATGTGGAATTTCTTTTAAATGAACAATTTAAATTTAATTTTGGAGGTTTTTCTTGAATCTTCAAGTGGCATTATTTTTTCATTTTTATTCATTTCTTGTTTAACCTGGGTTAACGACTCAGTTATAACCAACTGTTATCCTTATGTGCCCAGGATACGATACACAAAACATATAATCCTTAACTACTTACTTTAATAAAATTAATAATTCATAAGAACGACATTAGGCATAATAATAATAATAATAATAATAATAATAATAATAATTAAAATAGTATAATATAACAATTATATAGAATTAAATAAGCCAATAATTAAGATATTAAATACAATTTTTTAATTGTCATCTCAAATTTAACTTTACAAACCCTTTTAATTTTTTGTAAAATTATTATTTACTTGAAAAAAAGGAACAGATAAAAAAAAAGCAAGATATATCAGTATATCCTGAAATCTAAAAAAAACTCACTTTAAACCAGTATGGTTGTATATTTAGTTGACAGTAAAGTATGGAATCATAGCAGTGCTTCTTAAATAGATGACAGACAGGTGCCACTCGGCAAAGATCAGGGATAGTCAGATGTTGGAATATAAACTGGATAACCTCTGCCTGTGGAAACAAATGAATGTTGACTTGTTCAACAAGCATAGCAAGGAAATGGTGGCTCACTATTATAAAGTAGTTTTTGTCACACTTCAAATTGTGCTTACCAACCATTTCATATTAAGCATCCCCTCGGAACCATAGGGGATAGAAGGCCTGTAACCAGGTTCATGTGAAGGGGGTTTCCAATAGGCCAAGTTTAACTCAGAAGTGTTTCTTTAATGGAAAAAGCTTATGATGAAATACCACTACAGTCGTAAACTGTTCAAAAAGGGGGATTTGGCCAAACCCCAAAATTCCCCTGGTTACGGGCCTGGATAGGCTATATTATTTAAACTTGATGTGTGTGCCACGTAGTCATGTAGTCTTAATTGGCCAGACTTATTATCAAGAGTTATTTAGCCTTGTTCAATCAGATTTACCAAGTAAGAATTATTTAATCACATTTGAGCAAGAGCTACTAAGACATATTTTGCTTAACTTGACCAGACAGTTATTTAGCCTCAATTGGCCAGAAATACTAGAAAGATTTATTTAGCCTGACTTGGCGGCACTTACTGGTAGGATATCAAAGCCTCCATTAGCTCCAGCTCCTGGTATACTAGTCGAGGTTTCATCACAGTTCTCCTTAGCAGTTTTAGAAATGTCTAAGTGTTGTATTTCTTTGTACAGCTTATCCAGATCTACAAAAATATTTTATAAGCATATAATATGTAAACTAGAAATTGCAAATTGTGCGAAGTACAACTGCATATAAATGTTCTTCGAACAAAATTATTTATGCGAGTAAAGTGAAAATAATGAATAATAAAACGATAACAAATAATATGAGACACGACCCATTGTCTATATTAGAACACTTCTCATTGAGTAACAA